AGTAATGTTTTCATATCTATAGCTCAACTTTTAACAGTTTTTTAATAGCAGTTCTTTCTGTGGTAAAGAATGTATCTTGATGCTCCCAGAAAAAAATATCAAATATAGCATAATGCAAAATCCATATTGTCAAATTAAAATTAACACCTGGTGCCAAATAACTGTTTTGAGAGCACACGTGTTTTAATATTCAGTTTGAGTAGAAGAGCTTTCACCCTTCAGGAGATCCATTATACTCTCCGTGGATTAGAATGATATACAGCATTTAGAGAGCTACATATGTGCCCTTTGCAAGGCTACGCTGCATATCCCAGGGCATTTGAGGCATTACACAATAAAGTTAACCCTGAGCCTATCTTTGCTGGGTAATGGCCTACACCTGCCAGACATCTAGGGAAAAAATAACAATATAATACTGAGATGGGATTGCTTTTGGGCGGCCTCTTATTTTTGCGGAAGATATTTCAACATAAGGACCATAACATTTGTAATTCAATCCTGCTGACTAGAATTTAAAAAATCAGAATCATTTTTAAAAGAAGCTATTGCATGCTGTCTTTCACTTCAAGTTACCACAGTCTTAACTTGCCATATTGTGCATAAATGAACCCAGAGTCAAGTCTTCTTACTAAACATTAATGCTAACAAAAGGCAATGAAAGAATATTTAAATTAATTATTTTACTGTTCATAGTCCTAAGTGGTCACTGACTTCCAGTATAAAGGTTATATTAATGTATTCAGTAGTTATTACCTGTTGGCTGTTATCTTCATGGAAGAAGTTTGAGCTATGCTGAAAGACCATGTAGTTTTTTGTTTTTCTCTTAAATAGAGGAACATAAATATTGTGTTTGCTTTGAGAAGAATGTCTGGGGTTGTAGTTAGTGATAATGAATGTCATTCTCGGAAGCGTTACTTGTAAGAACATCAGAAGAGCCACATGGGTTTAAACAAAGGGTCCGTCTAGTTCAGTGCTCTATCTCCAGCAGTGGTGACAAGTGGATGCCTAGGGACCCCGGCAACATACGTAATACCTTCTACTTCACACCCCCAACTATTTTCCGTTCTGGGGATTTCCTGAGCTGTTGGGTTTTGTCTGTTTAGCTCTTTCCATGTACATGTGGAGTTCCTCTTTGAATACATATTCCTCTTGCATTCACATCCTTTGGCAAGGAGTCCCATAGGTCATCACATATTGCTAGGAGGTCTTACTCTTTTGTTTGCTTGGAAGCTGACTCTCACTTTTGTCTTTTGATGGTGTTTAGTACTTTTATTAGAAGAGAGTAAATGGTCAGTCTCTACCCACTCATGTTTCTGTATGTCTTTTTCATAGCATTTCCACATCTTCCCTACTCAGTTTTTGTTCATTAGAGTCTTTTTTTCCCCTCTTTGTTACCCTTCTCTGAACCTTTTCCCGTTTTAATGTGCTCTTTTTGTCATAAGGCAACCAGAACTGCACAAAGAATTCAAGGTTTGGGCAAGCCGTGAATTTGTATGACATCAGGAAGTTTTCCGATTTGTTCTCTTAATCTCTTTCTAATAATTCCTAAGTTTTTATTTGTTTTTTTGACTGCTGCTGAGCAGTGACTTGATGTTCTCATGGAACTATCTATCATACACTGCTTTACATTCATCTTCTTTGTTGTATTTCACCTGCCGTTTTATTGCCTTGACATGCTGTCTTGCGAAGTCCTTCTGCCATCCTTCATAGTCTGTCCTCATCCTTATCACCTTGAATACATTCAGATCATCAGAAGACTTTGCCACTGGACTGCTCAACCACTTTTCCAGCTCATTTATGGGTATGTTGAACAGTGTGGATCCCAGCACAGACACCTTGCAGAACACCTCTGGTGACTTCTCACTATTGCAAGGACTGACTGTTTACTGCTAACATCTGTTTATTCTCTCTTAGTCAATTATTTATCAGAGCAAGACCTTCCCTCTCTCCTAACTGCTTGAGTGCGGGCACATAAATATACTTTCATTTCTCTTATGCGCTGGAGAAATGCTTGGTTATTAAAACAAAATGTAAAAAAAACCTGCAACACCACCTCTCTCCAAGAAAACCCATGAAAACCAAACCAGTATTTTGTGGTCTTTGTAAAGAGAAATCTTTCTGTAGTACTGAACCATTTCCATGGTAGAAGTAGCCCCTGTATGCTGGTGTGTCTACGGTAGATTAAAGCCACACTGTATGCATACCAGTCCCGTCCCAAGCAATGAAAGTGAGAGGTTTCTGAGAACGACACTGGAGTCCTAAGTAGCCTCTTCTTCGTGCTGTAGAAGCTGTCTTCAAATTACCTTTTTCTTCAGGATTATGTTGGATAAGGGTAAGATAGAATTTCAAGGACTGGGCTGATGCGTGCAAAACCCACATAGTTGTATAGACCAAAAAGAGCATTTTTGCGTCTAGTATCTGTTACGGCAGCACCGTAGGCTGGTAGATTAGTTCTAAGCAAGCTCCAAACTTTTATTCCGTAGTCTCAAATGAGTTAGGAAGTGTAATCTGAGCTCCCTGCATGTCATGAGGTCAAAGTCTATTGACTTGGGCTTTGAGCAGGTGATTTGACTGTCAGCCTCAGTAAAACAAAGGTCAGTCAGTGTTCAAAGTACGGAATAATTTTTCCAAGATTGTAGGGATGGGATCACAATTTTCCTGTATTGCTCTGAGGTTGCAATGCAGATGTGTTTGAAGGGTTAACACTGTGGCTCAATCAGAAAGAATGCTTGGCAATAAGAGGAAGCCTGGATTAATGATAGAAAAGAATTCTTAGCATTTTATAGCAGTGGGTATTTGAGATGAGACATGGCTAATGATCAACTAAAAAGGTATTTGCAGCTGTGGTGCTACCTCTCCCCATAATGCCAACATTAATCAAGCTTTTTCATGCAGCTTTGCAGTCCATTCTATTTTTCATTGTCCTGAATATAAAAACAGAGCTCATGCCCTAATACACTGAGTCAGAGACCATACTTCTGTGTCACTGAAAATGATCAGACCTTATTGATTTCTAAAAGCTGCAATTTCTGTACTGTGAAACAAACCTATAGCAAAGTCTTTAACAAAGCCAGTTTCATTTTAAAGAAAAAAGAGTCGCTCGTAACCCCAAACTGTAAATACCTCTGGGATGTGAAGCACTTATCACCGTGAATTAAATGCTCATATATTTTATTTAAGTCTTGAATTACAACAAAACATCAGCTGTAATTACAGCATCTCTAAGTCTAGTTTTGGAGTCAGCCATCTTGTTGAAAGACCTTGGCAGTGCGGAAAGCCAGTGAAATCGTGTAAGGCAATGTCCTAGCTGTTCTGATGCTGCCTTCGGAGTCAGAAGAAAAGCTTCATTATAGTGAAAAATTAAACATTTGACATACAAGTTATTTCCAGAATGGCTTCAATCTTTTTAAATAATGAACCCCATTGAATCTCAGCTTCTCAGCAAATGTCGATTATCTAAATTCCTTAAGTAAACTACACATGATGCAGCTTTTGAAACATGAACATGATCTTCCCTCATGTAAACAATCCTCTGCCTTTGTTGCCTGATGCTATCACATTTGAGCGTACATCCTTCTGGATTGCAGGCCCGAGCCTATAAAATCTCGCTATCGAATATCCACCCCAATCTGCAGATGCTTTATGCCCATGCTTAACAGCCATGACTCATCCCATTAAAGTCAACAAAGTTACAGTAGTAAAGTTAAGCGTGTGTTTGCAGGAATAGGCCCAAATTCTCAGAAGTATTTAGGTAACTCAAGATGCAGAGAGATGACTAGTGGGGGAATTTCACACTGGTGTGACTAATCTCCCTAAGATCTCCTAAAATCAACTGAGAGAGAGAGAGAGAGAGGACTCTTGCAAAGGGGCTTCAGGACAACTAAATTAGGCTCCTGTTTTGGAACGTCTTCTAGAGAAGCCTCCAGTTCTCCCTGCTATTTAAAAGGTGCTTTGAGTGCTTTGTCCTGGTCATCCAGCTCCCACAGAAATCAGCAGGAGCCCGATCTTGAGGTGCCCAGCCACATCTTGCAAAAAGCCTGTCTGTAGCAATAGCCACCTCACCAGCTCTGGGAATCACGGAATCATAGAATCATAGAGTGATTTGTGTTGGAGGGGACCTCAAAGGTCATCTAGTTCCAACCCCACTGCCATGGGCAGGGACACCTTCCACTAGATCAGGTTGCTCAAAACCTCATCCAGCCTGGCCTTGAACACTTCCAGTGACAGGACATCCACAACTTCTCTGGGCAACCTGTTCCAATGCCTTGCCACCCTCATGGTGAAGAATTTCTTCCTTAGATCTAATCTAAATCTCCCCTCTTTTAGTTTAAAGCCATTACCCCGTGTCTTATCACTACGTACTACAACTATCACTATATCACTACAACTTGTGAAAAGTTCCTCTCCAGATTTCTTGTCCATGTAATCGAGGTCCATGTACCTGTAGCTCTGTAGAACTGCCCACAGTGCAACCTGCTCCTGCCATAGCCTTGTGCTCTAATGGCCCCAAGTGCATCAAGACCAGATGCTATTGACACAGGGTAAAGTTTACTTTTCAAACTGAAGGACCACAGTGAAAATAAATGGAAATATCTTTGACTTTTGAAAGCCTGCAGTTTTAAGATTCTTTTAAATAGACGTAAATAAAATTCTTCATTCTTAAATGTACAGGGCTGACTAACTGACCCATCTTCATTTTTTACAGTTGATTTATAAATACCTGAAATTAAAGGACTAGAAAACATGCAATGACTCCTTCATGTTTTAATGAATACGATGTGTTTTGAAGATCCTCCAACAGCCATGATTTTACTGTGTTAAATAAAGTAGATTTTATAGCTCTTTAATCAGATCATGATGGAACATTATGCAAAATATTATGCAATGTAATGCAAAGTAATTAATGCAAGCAGAGAAGTGGTAGGAACGTGAGACCGCTGAGCAGCATGCATTTGTGTCACACGCTGCCTGCTGATTTTCCCAATTTCTTTCTTTCTTAGATAGTGGTTTCCCGTTCAGAACCCACAGCTCCACATGTCAGCTTTCAGCTAGACTCCCACCCGGTCTCTCCCCAAGTTGTTGTCGAGAATTCATTAGCGGATGATGGCTATACCCTGGTAGTGACTGGGAAAAAGGTGAGTGGTTCATAATCTAATCCTTCTGTGCACTGTTTAAACTTGCCATCATGGCAGCAACTTTCAGTAAGAGCAACTATTCACACTTCTGCTCTATGCTCTGCATCCTCCCAGCCTTGTCGTTCCCTTGGGAACACTGGAGGGGCAAGTTTCCTCCAAGATTTATTTTCTTTTCCCTGCTAAACAAACCGACAGCCTAATATTGAGAAATGTTTAAATAATGTAAGAGCTGTGATATAAACCGACAAAAGCCAGGAAATGCAAATTTAAAGGCTGAAACGCTGTCCTTAATTCAAGTGCTTGCAAAGATAAAACACACAATGGCTTAAGGAAAGAATGGTGCTCACAGTTTCCTGGCTTTTGTTGGTTTGTGTCATAACGTTATAACTTTTTAAGGAGGGGTGTGTGTGCAAGAGCTATGTGAGTGTGTTTAAAATTCGGAGCCAGTGTTCGTAGTAAGGTTTGAAGACTGCTTTAGCATGTAGGCTACAAAGGGTTAATAAAAGATGGAGAGCTATCATAAATATGCTGTTGTCATAAGTAGATACGCATTGTAGAATGAGTTTAAAACATCAACAGATAGTATTACAGATAATCCTAAACCACAATCGTAAGCAATAATTTGACCCTTTGAGTTCTATAAGAATTTACAGAAACACATCAGCCATTAGTAAAGATGGTTATTAATCATTTAGTAGAAATGTATGAGATATTTATAAGAGTAATCTTCAAGAAAATGTCCAAATTAAGTTTAAGGAAGTTACTGAAGTGTAAAGAAGTATGATGTACTTATATAGTAATGTAATTGGATATTAATTTTAATATTTTGTCTGAAAACAATTCCTATATATTTAGAGTGACTATTATCATAACTATCCTGATATTTTCAATAACATAAATTTTAATTAATATTTTAGGTCTAGTGTAGGGGTTTTGATCATAGGTGTTAAGAAACAAGTACGTGGTCAGTCACATGCTGTGAGTGTATTACGTATTAGTACAGCCTCGCCAAAGTTGAAATAGCCATCACGCCTGTTTTTGCAAATGTATGAACTAAGGCATACTGAGATGCACTGTTTTTTTCCGAGAACTAGTGCAGAACTGGGAGGAGCACACTGCTGTTTTCTTTTTCCATCAGCAAAAAATGCTATCTTGCTGTAAACACCAGATGCTGGTAGCAACTGTATATAACATTAAGATGCCTTTAGGGTTTCTCCCAAGGGAATTTAAAATCATGTCAGCTAAATTACTTATAAGCTCCTATAATTACTGAGCTAAAGAGAAGTCGAGCCGCGGCTC